GGTAATACATAATATATAGGTACTAATAATAAACTAATAACAAAATAACTAATATTACTAGTACGTACTTGTTCATAGCTACATTTCTACCTACCAAACGAAGGTGTTTGAAAAATAAACACAAACTTTTATCCAGCCACAATGGCATGTCACGTAAGATTTAAAAATAGTTAATAATAACAAAAAAGTAATGCACTATCATGAACATAAACATTGAAAAATAAAAAAGCACGTTCAATGAGAGAAGGCTGACACTCAGACTCATCGATATATTTTTTTAATGTTTGCATTATAATTTGATGCAGCCATTCCAATACAATTATCCAAATGTTCATCTGTAAGTCGATTGCGATATTTGTTCTTAATAAAATTCATATTGGAAAAAGAAGATTCACACAAATAGGTTGAACTGAATAATGCTTTCACTTTCAAGGCAATACGGCATAGAGCTGAATATTTGTCTTTACTTACAATAGGCCAGATACATTTGGTACTTGAGACTAACGATTTTAAGGCTAAATCATTTTGAAACTTAATTACTTCCATTTCTGTTGCAGCGATGTCTTCGCCAAAGTTCTGCATAACACAAGTTGCAAACTGTTGGATATCAATTTCCATAAAGGGTGAAACAACAAACTGCGCTACTAAAGCCATTTCGTTGAAATCCTTAAAACGATTTTTGAAGTTATTCTTCAGGGTAGAAACTATTTCTACATGATATTTGCTGTCATAAGGTTCTAATGGATTTTGATATATTTTTTCTGAAAGAATAGGAAAATGCTTGGCATCGCTGTTAATTAGGTTTTGTTCCCAAAACTCCAGCTTTTTGATAAATGCTTTTATATCAGAAATCATTTCCGCTAGTTCTTTGTCTCTCCCCTGAAGCTGCAAATTAAGTTCGTTTAATTTCTCTGTAATGTCCACGAGAAAACCAAAATCTCTAAGCCAGATTGAATTTTCTAGTTCCGGAGTCGGTTCATCGCGTTGTTTGAAAAATTGAACTATGCCAGATAGGACATCATTAAAACGTTTCAGAACCCGTCCTCTACTTAACCATCGGACTTCAGAGTAAAGGAGTAGGTCCCCGTATTGACAGTCAACTTCATCGGCCAAGGTTTTGAATAATCTTCTTTGTAACGCTTGAGCTCTAATCTTGTTCGCAATTTTTACCACCAGTTTCATAACGTTGTTTAGTTTTAGGAAATTTCCACATAATGCTTGCTGATGGATAATGCAGTGGTAACAGAGAAATTGCGGAAAAGTTTCATCTTTACGACATAACGCCACCAGACCCTTATTACAACCCACCATAGCTGGAGCACCATCGGTTGTCAAACCTATTATTTTCGATATTGGAATTTTCTCGGAAGAAATAATATTTTTTAAATGAGAAAACAACTTCTGTCCAGTAGTGTGTGGAATAAACTTCAAAAGATCTTCTTTAATCGTAAAATCACTAAAAACCATCTTGACGAACACGGCCATCTGGGCAGTGTCAACGACATCTGTTGATTCATCCAGTTGAAGTGAAAAATAAACACAGTTATCTAAGTCAGTTCTTAACTGTAAAAAAATATCATTGCTCATTACTTCTACACGTCTCATCACTGTATTAGCAGAAAGTTGCATAGATTTTATAGCGAAACTATCTCGTCTTTATTTCTAAAGTTGACAAATAACGAATCAGTAGCTTCTAAAAACGCCTGTTTTATCATTTCCCCGTCTTCATAAGGTTTCTTTTTTTGTGCAATTATCTGGGACACACGGTACGATGCTTCAGTTGCAGCTTTATTTTTGTCAACTGTTCTTAAAAATATTGATTGTTGTCCAATTAACTGCTTTTTTAACTGTTTCAGTTTCTCCTTTCTGGCGGCAGAATGTAGTGGGAATGATTTTTCAAAATTAGAATGTACAGTTTTATGATGTCTCTCAATATTTCCTTTTTTAACAACGGAGACCGACGTATTACATAACAAACACACATTTTTATCTTTAACTTCTGTAAAAAAGTATTGTTCTTCCCATTCCAAATGAAAGTGGTATGTCTTTACCTTCTTACAACTGCTTGCCATAATATTATTTTTTGTTGTTCTCTACTAACTTAACCGCTGGACGTTGGTTACGCGTTCAGTTTTAAACTAAGCGCACTGTCGCCGCGCCGTGCGTATTTATCCCGTTCAAAGCAATCCTGATCGTTCTCGAACACTAACGCGCTGGTCCGGCTGGTCGGTTCTAGCCGATTCTAGCTTGATTGCGTCAGCGGCAGATCGCTCACTGCAACGTTGCCGCTGTTTATGTTGATTATTATGACAATTAGATTTTTTTGTGGAATTTTCGGAAGCTCCTCTGATTTTTGCAGTTTGTATTTTTTAAATTAAAATCGTTGTGAGAGCTACCAGAATTGTCTCCGCGAGCTACCGGTAGCTCGCGATCGACAGGTTGACGACCACTGGTCTAAAGCCACACATTTTTTACAAACAATTCCATTTGGACTATATTCTGAATATATAATATTTTTATTTAGAATAACTATTATCCTTATAACAATTATATAAATTTACAGATGGCCCTTTTTCACAAATATTCAAGGGAGCAATTGTTTCACTTGCTCAAAAGATTTAATACATTGTGAAATATTTTCTGTTGTTATATTTTTATTTAAAAAGTAAACCTTCCCATCTCCATGCACTAAGACCTGCATAAACGAAATATAAAAGAAAATTAAATTACTTTGATTAAATTATGTAATGTAAAACAAATTGTTAAACTTTTTTTTTCAAATTGGGAGCGTTTTCAGGTTTGTTACTGTCTGCTACTAACTCCAATGAGAACATAATATACTTATTGAGTATATAAATATGAAAACTTCATGAAAAATCTAGAAATTGCACATTTGAAATTTTCCTACTTAATTTTTCATTTCTGCTATTATCTAGTATATCATTTTCTACGCTATTAATTAAAAAATCATTTTCTACAAATAAATATTTAGGGAAGTGTGGTTAACGTATGCAGGAATAAATCCTGTGTTGGAGCAAGAAGCGTGAACACTACTTTGGAACACTAGCTCATGTTTAAGTAACACATTGTTTAATTGTTCTCTGTCTACACGATTTAGTTTCAATCCCTTATTATCTCGTAAGAAAATATAAATAAATTGAACTGATTCTGTACCAGGTAGATGCGTAGGTTTATTTTCAAAACGGTACTGTTTATAAGGCGCGTCTATGAAAAATCACACCGACTCCGGTATATCCAAAATGATTTGAGCTTCTACGATGAAGTAGACTCCAAGGAGAGTGCGATTATCTTAGCAACTTGAACCGAAATAAATTTAACGGGTATCTACCTTGAATTGTAATTATAGTGTCAAATACGTATGTTTCAACTCGACGTTCTTTTCCATCAGCTAAGGTCAATGTCATAGTTTGAGAAGTATATGGAATATTTCCTCCTAACAATTATTTTGTCAGCATTGACCCAACGATGTTGGATTTTGCTCCAGTGTCGATTGCCAATCCAAAGTGACCAATTATTTCGAGAGCCCCAAAGGAGCGTGACATTGGTGAGGGTTGATACGTAAATATCTTCATTCCATAGTTTCCGTAGTTACTGGGGTTTTACTTATGACGGCAGAATGGTGATCGCAAATATAGGGTAATTTCGCTTAACACGTTAACTGCCTCCCATTTATTTAATGACTTTTCTCAGGGCCAAAATGTATTTAATTAAAAAATTGGTTGTATTGGCTTGTTTTGGTTTAAATAAGGTGGTATATTAAATTTTTCTTAAAAATTTTCCAACTTCAATAACAAACGCGTAAACGCGTTGGTGGCACTGGGCAGTCCATTTAACACCTAATGCCACTACCGCGTTTACGCGTTTAACATAAGTGACAAAAAATAGGTAGCAATAAGTTTTTATTGAATAAAAAAAGGAAATACAAAAAAAACAAAAATCATTCATGGATAATTTTGCAACAATCCAAACAAAATCCTGGAGTTTCTGGACACGATTGACATTCATATGTCGTTTCACGTCTTCTTCCATTTTCAGAGCAGATTTTGCATTTACGTCTAAGGGTACTCCCATTTTTGGACTTTCCACATTTTGTCAGAATATGTTGGTCTCTGCTTATTTTGGGTTTAGTTTTTTGTGGGCCCAACATTTCTTTTATTACAGACAGCCTAAAGTCGTACAAATTCATTTTACTTCCGGAAAAGGTATTATATAGATGGAAGGCATTTATCATGCATAATTGTAAAATGTGGATACCGATTTTCGAAGGCCACCTCATTGTTTTTCTGTCGCATGGATAATACGACAGCATTTGGTCCTGCCGATCGACTCCAGACATAAATTTATTATAATTTATTATAGGCTCTGGTTTCATTCTAATAACACCTCTTTTGTTTCGACTTTCCTTCATTGTATTTGGAAATTCTGTGGATATGTAATGGACATCCCTTTTGTCTTTTCACTGAAACCAAACCAAATATCTGAATAACCAAATGTTCATTTAAAACTAACATTCCATTTTCATGTTTTGCTAATATTCAATTGATTACTATTTATTTTACTTCAATAGGGTATAAAATGTAACAGTAATATATCCAATATTTCAAGTATTTTAAATAAGCACTAGGAATAACTGAACAAATAATATAAATAACTTTATATTACAAAAAATAATAACAAACTATAACTATATTTTAAAACACTAACAATCACATAAAAACAAAACTACTAAACAATAAAATAGATTAGAAAAACAAACAAATTATGCATTTTTTGAAGGAAGAAGTTTTTGAAAAATAATTTCTATTATTTTTTGTTGATTTTTAAATACGCCTAGCTCAACATTCATTTATTTTCCTTCATCTCAACCCTTTTTTTCCTTTCCCAACAAATCCATTTTTTTTTCTTCTAGAGCCAGTAATTCGTAAGAGCGTTCATTTTTTTTACTCAAATAGTTTAATGTAGTCGGCTTAATTTCTCCATTATTTGTTCGTTTTCTGGTGGAATCTGTGAACAGAAATAAACAATTTTAAGTATTTCTTCATATAGCCTTTGGCTAGTAGCACCTTGATTTGCTTTCTCTGGTTCATCACTGGAAACATTTGTAAAAGCTTCCAGAAAAGTGTTTGCACTCTACAAACTTTGGGATGAAAAAATCGTACACAAATACACATAGTCTTGACAGAAGAAATATCTGTGGATTCATCAATTATTAATCTGAATTTATTGCATTTTAAATAAGTGATAATTTCTTCCTCGGCACAAGCACCTATTTCATTTTTTGATATCTGGGCAGCTTTGGTTCTTCCCAGTGACATTCCCTGTGCAATTTTGGAATCAGGAAAACAACTTTTAATTAGACTAGTTAAATGTTCAGCTGAATTAAAAGAAATATTATGTTCTGTTAAAAATCCTGTGATTTTAATTTCAGCAATTTTGCTCTGAGTTTGCAAAGAGGTTTCAGGCTTATTAAACATAGCTGTAATTGTTGTATTTGGCAAAGCTTTCACCTTAAGAGCATGTTTCAAAGATTTAGCATGATTTTTAATTACGGTTAATTCGGCAGTGAATTCTAAATTACAAGCACGGCACCTAACCTTTCCGGTAGTCTGAAAGTAAAATTTAAATGTTTTAAATATAATTAAAAAGTCAGTTACCTGCAATAATTTACCATTAGTCTTAGTGATCCAACCTTTAAATCTAGAATCTTGTTCCCATTCCACACGGTATTTCTGTTTTCGATGCGTAACCTTTTTGGAACTTTCACCCCGTTTTAACTTCTTATATTCAGGCGTTGACCTCCTCTTTTCACCCTTTTCAGATTCTGGACTAGAATCCGACATGTTTATATTACAGTCTAGATAACTACTTAACTTTAAACTAAACGTAAATCGCAAATGTCTCTTTTATACGTCGAGCAATCGAAAACAAACTGCAGACTGCAGCGACTAGGTGCAAAATAATAAAGCCAATAAGCGATGTACGGGAAATCCCATATGCAACTACACTCGATTCGGTAATATACCCTGAACGGCCCGCTGATGAACTGGAAACCCGAATGGATGCGGTGATGCAAATTATTCCAGTGACAATCAAAATTTTTATATCAGTTTACCATTTAGACTTGTCATTAACCATAAAAATATATTAAGCAAAATTAAAAATATAGTGGGTTGTGATGAATACATCATTTCATAGGTTTTCGCATTAGTTTTATTTCTAAATGTAAATTATCGTATAAAATGCTATTATCGCATAGCTACTTTCGTACGTTCGTTAAATTTATCGTACAAAATCCATAATTATCGTACATCTGACAAAATTGGCGTCGAGCGAGCGTGGTACCGGACGTCTCCTCCCACCTACTAGACTTGTACTTGCTCGTTCACTCAGCTGATTCGTTCAATCTCGTTCACTGAATGAAGTGAACTAGTTCGTTCAAATCGTTCAATAGTTCAGTTGGATCTTTTAACAGAATGAGCGGTGACTCGATGAGTGATACGAGAATGTGAGTTCTGAACGATATATAAAAATAAATAAATGAAATTTGCAAAACATTTAAAAAATTATTTACCTAATAATTAAAACAAACTTTAAAAAATAAAATAAAAAAAAACAAAATAAAAAATAAAATAAAAAAAACAAAATAAAAAATGAAATTGGCAGTATCCGGAATTATTTACATTACAATTCACATATTGTTGTGCAGAAAAAGGAGACTAGATACTCTTTCTGATTTTAATAGAGTTCTTCTTTCGTTAAGAATCTGCCCAGCATTTGAAAAAACTCTCTCGCAAGGCACAGAGGTGGCAATAATGCAAAGTCTTTTTAACATATAATTGTATAAAAGAGGATAAAAAGGCCTCCTTTGATGCCACCATTGCAATGGATCAGTTGACCTAGGGACAATATCTTCATTGAGATATTTATCAAGCTCAATGATTGCGGCTGCAGTGGTATTTTGAGGCTTTAAAAGATCAATTTCGGCATCAAAAGTGTCCCACACAATATTTTTTTTCTGTACCTGTGTGGTGGTGGTGGTGTTGGACTTGGACGAAAAAACAGATGTTGATGTGGTACTTGCTTGTGTTGGTACTGCACCAAGACGTTTTCTCAAGCCAATAACAGCCTTATCAAATTTGGATACATTTTTAAAGCCTCTTTTTTTGAATCGAGGGTCAAGAATAGTACTTTCTGAATAGAGAGGTTCGTTTTCATAATCTTGAAATCTAGTTAAAATACCTTCTTGTATAGCGTAAAGCATTTCCATAATTTCAGTTATTGGCTGTTGACATTCTTGATGATTTTTTATAGTTTGTGCGACATTTTGCGACATTATTTTAATAAAAACTATTACTTTAGACAAACTTACTGTTTTTTCACTACTTATTTCTGTAGTAATTCCATAAAATATTTCTAAGATATTGACTGATTCCTCTATTATAATCCAATCACTGTCTAGGAGAATAAGATCACTTTTTAAAAGTGCAATTGTTGCTATTACTGCCTCTTTTATTTTTACAATACGACTTAACATATCGTATGTTGAGTTCCACCTCGTCACAACATCTTGTTTAATTTTGAGGAGTGGAAGTCCCATCTGTTGCTGGGTGTCACTTAATTTTTTTTGTGCTTGAGTGCTTCGTTTAAAATATTCTACAATGCGTTTTACTTTAATTAGCTGGTTATTTATGGGAACAGTACCGGTCCTGACGATTAAATTTAATAAGTGTGCAAAGCAACCAATTGACCTCCACTCTCCTACACGAACTGCTGCTAATATATTTGAAGCATTATCTGAAACTACAGCACCTATTTTATTACATATGTTCCATTTATTAAACATTTCCTTTAAAAAACTACACAAATTATCAGCCGTATGTCTTTCATCGTATTGTATACAACCAAGAGTACATGAACAAAGTTTTGTTTCACTATTTATAAAGTGAGCCGTGACAGCTATAAAACTATCATTGTTCCGGGATGTCCAACCATCGGTTGTAATACAAACTGCTTTTGCAGATATTAATTTTTCTTTTATATCTTCCGAAATACTATTTTCGACAGTAGTCATTAAATTATTAGACAGTGATTTTCTTGTCGGTGGTTGGTATCCAGGACAAAATGACACCATTTCAATAAGTTTTCTGAATTCTGGTTCTTCTACAATTCTAAAAGCATGATGACCCTTAGCAATCATTTTTAACATCTGCCTGTCGATTTGTTCAGTTTTACGAGCTGGAGGTGGTTTTCGTATAAAATGAGTAATGGTAGGTTGATTTGAGGTTACTCGAAGTACACATGTTTGTGATGAAGATGAAGATTGAACTTGAGGATTATTCTTCACCTCTACGGTTTCATTATTCATTTGCTGCACTTCATTTAGTTCAAGTAAGTTTTCAAGTCTTCCAGATTGAACTAAAATGGTAGGATGTTTACTTTTTAAATGTCTATTTAAATTTCCCACAGAACCACTCGCTATACTTATAGGCTGATGACAATAATTGCACTTCGCCAATTTTTTATTTTCATTTTCACTAAAATGAGCCCATACGGCACTGTATTTTCTTCGTGGAGGCATACTTCAATTAAAAAACGTTTACAACACTAATCTATAGAATTGTAAACAACAACAACAACAACAACAACAACAACAACAACAACAACAAAGCATTTGGGAATCCCAAGATGCGAATTGAAACAATATTTTTAAGCAATACGTATTAATACATTCCTAAAGCAGATAACCAATAATACAAACTAATGTATTATGTGTTGCCTATACCAGTAGACAATCAAAAAATGTAAAGAAGGTCATACGATTCATAGGAAGGAAACTGTTTTCGTTCGTTCGGTTCAACTGAACTACTGAGCTATGTGATCGAGTCGTTCTGAACTAGTTCAATTAGTTCATTAAAGAGATATGCTTCTTTGAACTAGTTCGTTCGTGAACTACCCAAGCCTACCACCTACAGATCGTCTGCACACACATCAGTTGGACTCATAGTGTTCGCCGTCATGGATCCATGTGTGATGTACGTGTATTTAACAATAACAAACAAACAGCGGAAGAGAAGGAGATGGTCAGTACACCCTATAAACAATGTACGCCACTTAAGAAGTGCATTTTATACTTTATATGAAGAGTTACGATTCCACGGTGAAATTTTTTTGAATTATTTCCGAATGAGTGTTGTCTCATTTGATGAACTTTGTGCCAAAGTTAGAAACACTATAGCCTGTAGCCCAAATCCTGTTAAAGGTTTGGGTTTCCAACCTGAAGAAATGATAGTGTTACCGGCGTTCTGTAATTAACAATAAATGAATAAGAAAGTTATCTATCGCCCTTAGTACGCCTTGGGAACACACCTGCTAGCTCAGGAGCTGGGTTCCGAAATTTATACCGCGCCAGTGAATTTATATGGGCTGATCCAATTCACTAGACCCCTCGTTATTGTGAGGATAGAAAACTATTAACTCCAATAATCATTACTTTACTATTATTATTTAGTGAGGTATAGTACTCATCTTAGACCAACACTACCTTGAACTATAGTAAACAAGTGATTTACTTTAAAAGAATTAAAGAGACTCACCTTAAAAGGTCCAGCGCTGTCAAACTGGACTAAATTGCCTTATCTTGTTTAAATGAAAAGCTCTGGTCATTGTTAATGGGGAGATTTATTATTGTAAATATTTTTACAAATACATCAACAGGGCTCCATTTGTTCGAACAAAGGGGGTGACCTTTCACAATAGTGCTATCTGCAAAAACAAACTGTTATTCTGTGTTTCAAAACAAACGTTCATAACTTAAAAACTAGAAATAGATGGGCACATTAGTACCTACTAAGTGACACTTACACAGTGAACTAAAAATCCTTATAACTAAACTGAATAGAAAATGATTCGATTAATCACATATGAATGGAAATAGAATGCAGTAATTTACCAAAGAAATAACTAATCTTAAGAGATTTAACTTTTAAAACTTAATCGAGAAAGGTTAATATTTAGTGAATATCCTTATTCCATCCCTAAATGATTTAAACATAAATAAAAGAAAATATCACTATAACAAATCGATGGAAAGGTATGAAACAGCCCCATTAACAATAAAAAAAAGTTAAAAACATGAAATAAACCCCACTAAGTAAAATTTTAATAGGTAGGCACCATAACTGTTTTACCAAGCCTCCCTTTAGTTGATCGACCTAAAGGGTGCAACGATCCTCGATTCCATCGCGAACCCGCCAAAGCTAAACACCCGAACACTCGACAACCTTGGACCTATCGCTACTCAACCAACCCACAGTAGCACTGTGAAAACAGTTGGTAGGTACACTATGATAGATAATATATATTGATAAATTATTAAACCACTTATCTGTTCCTGGAAACAGGATACTCCAAAGGTAGAAGGTTCCAATTTCTACCCTGGTACTGGGACTATTGGAGATTTCGGCGGGGCAAAAGAAATGGGGAGGCCGGCCCGAAATTATCTCTACGCTTTCACAGCGCCAAGATATAAATAAGGAAAGAACCAGGACCCACAAAGCTGCTCCAGAAATGCCCTCATGGTTTTCCACTAATAATGGCGGGCGCTTCCCCGCCCAAATCCACCACTACCGGTGAAATTATAAAAAAAAACTTGCGGCTCAACAACACAACCTCTCAGTAAGACACGTTACACAGGAGAGAGCACAGAACACTTACTCTTAGAACGGTATCTCCCATGTTAAAAAAGGATGATAAGAGTTTTCAGCGGCACCTGGTGGACGTGGTTGATTTTTTTCAATTAAGT